AGAGAGAGAGAGAGCTTGCTCGAATCGACTCGTGTTCGAGAAAAGCCTAGATTTCTTGTCCAAGCTAAAGTCGGCTCGGCCGGCTTAGGCTCACAAAAAAGTTCAGATCATTTTACTCGAGCCTCAAAATTCGCCTCGGCTCGTTGACACTACTAGCTCTATATGAGCGGGAGGTGAGTGCCGATGAGCTCGTCTTTGAATTAATTCTTGAAGTCCAAATCTTGACTCTCTTTTTTTTTTTTTTTTGACTTGCTTTTGGTCTCCATCAATCGCAAAATGTATTTACAGTATCTTGGACTCATTAAATCCTACTTTGACTTTGATTACAATTTAATTAACTTCTAATACAATTCACCTGAGACTTGGTTTTTACTAAAAAATTATCAATTACAAATTTGAAAATTTCTAATTAAAAATTGGACTTAACAATCCCTCACTTCGGCATTTCGTGACAAAATCCTTTAGTTTAAAGTCAAATCTAAAACAGCCTCACTACCCAATACTATATTCCTAAACTTTAACTTGTCACATGTTTCCTGAAAACAGCAATAGCACATAAAAAGTAGAGTGATGCTACACTACCAAGGCCGACCTTACAGGGCTTCTACAGGCTGTGACTCAGTTGGTGAGTCGGCCATTTTTGTTGCAATTTTTTAATACAAGAGGCTCAGACATGAGATCCACCTTATTGTGAGGAGCTTGTAAAAAGCCTGGTAAACTGACCCTGATAGATTAGCATTTTCCTAAAAAGTAAGAGAAAAATGACAATTAAAAAAAAAAAAATATCTATATTATACAAAGCAACATAAGTATAGCACGTGTAATACCAAAACATGCCATACTGTGTGTAATTAATAACTTAAATATAACATAAAAAATAATATTAATATTGACAAAATACAAAACACAATATCAATATTAAAATTCCAAAAAATGTCAAAAATTAATAATGACTCCCCCTAATTTAACAAAAAAAATAAAAAATAAAAAAATTCAACTTCTCCTCCTGACTCGTATACTTTCCAACTCTCCTGAAATAAATACTCTCTCTCCCACTTTTTGTTATGAATAACAAAGAAAGATAAGTAATTTGACTATGAATAAAATGGAGAAGAATGAGCTAAAAAAATATTTACATACTAAAAAATATGCAAAATCTTGTAAAACATGTGATGGGAGAGGGGGAAAATTTCTTTTTCTTTTGAAATAACTGTCTTTCATGAATTTTTAAATATAATATCATGAACATCAAATATGATATAATTGTTTTTAAGGATTTTTAAATATAATATTATGAACAGTTAATTTGCTTACCAATACAAGTATAATTCATAAAAAGCATATTTTTCCCCACATATCTTATTTAAACCTATTAGAGTAAATTGTGTAAGTTACACATGTATGAAAAATGCCATTAATCTTATGTAAGCAATCTCAAAACCTCATATCAGTGAGAAAGGACATGTAAAAAATCGTTGGTAAATGAATATATTCTTCAAATTATGAAAGTTAAACCCATTGCTATTAGGACCTTTTAAATTAAAAGCTCATATTTGATTTTGTGTATATGTTTCTTTCTCTCCCTATTTGTAAGAATAAATATTTCTTCTATCTCATGTACAAACTTATCTCCACTAAGCAAACTTAATAACCTATATAACAAGTTTTAGGTTGATGACTCTAAAGTCAGATGATAATAGGGTGCCAAGTTTCAAGATACTCTGTAGACTTAATTTCTCGGGTTGAAAAGATTACGAAGACAAATATAAGATATAGCTTACTTTTTCCTATCAATTTTTTTTTTTGAGATAAATATACAAAAGCTTAGGTCAATTAGTTTAAAAATCATTCCATATTTAAAGTCAACCCACCACACAAGTGATCGCTATACCAAATCTCACACATACAGTCAAAACTCAATCACAAGAGTTTAGTGTGTGTAGTGCAAATGATAATGCAGCAATTTATACCAATTACTCCAAATAAGTTCTAAATTAAAGTAAATGAAAACTTTATTTAATACTAGTACTTGATCACAACATAATATGTCTAAAAATATTTACATTAAAACCCTTTTTGCATTTTTTTTTAAATTCCCAAATAAAATGAAAAAGTAATAAAACAAGGAAAAAGTTTAGAGTGCATGTACGAAATATGCATATTCCATGAACATTGCAAATATATGTACCGGATCATCTAATCAATAAGGCATTCCTCGAACAATTCATCAATCGCCTCATATGTGTCCCTACTATCCTCATATCCTAAATCAAAATAAGATTGGCTCATCTAGACATAACTGGGTCAAGGATTGCAAATAAGCACTAATACTACTTGAAAGTTTAAATTAGCCGAATATTTAGACTCAAATGTGGAATTAAACGATTAGAAGCAACAAGTTACTTATTAATTGATTTTCAGATGATTAATTTAATTAAATCTAAGTTTTAATCAATTTATAATGATCATAAGCAATAAATAAAGAGTAAAGAACACCAAATTGATCACAAAGGAAATCCCCAACTGGATAAAAAAACATCCAAGAAAACTTGTTAGTAAACGATCCATTAGGAAATTTAATTTACAATTACTCCAGACATTGCTAAACTTTACCTAACTCCAGCCACCTAATTTGTAAATTATTGAGGAACTCCGTCGATTGTGCATGCTTGCACTTCCAGAACTTTGGGTTACTTTTCTCTCTGTTGAATCATCAAGAAAGAACTTCTTTCACTCCAGAGTGTTGTAACTCCAAGCGTCTCTTCCCACAATTCAGAACTCAGGAATGAAGAAGGCATGATTTTGTTATGGTATATGAACTAGGATCTTTTTGTATTTTGATCTATGGCTGAGACAATAAATAGGAATATGGATTTGATCCTCAATGTTTACTTGATTTAATTCAAAGCTCAACCAATGTTGAAACAATATTTGGGATAAAATATATGAACAATGATTTGTAGGGTTGAATCAATAGAATCAATTAAATGTGTTTATGATCTTCAATTGGATTTTTGAGAGATAAAAAAATTGTTAATTTAAAGAGTGATATCATTTTGGTATTTTTAGTGTTTCGATTTTTTTGGTCTATTTTCTATTTTTGGGCATTTATTACATGTTTCTCGATCCAAAGGGGAGTATGCTTGATGAAATAATTTTATTAGAGGTATCACCTCATCCTCAAGGTTTGGGACATAGCTGTTACGATCTAAATGTTTGAAATTGTGATGCATATTTTTGAAAGGCATGATATCTCTGTTGCAAATCTCGGTAAATGAAATTGTAGAAGTTGTACTTTGATAACACGCACTAGTACATTTCTTCAATTACCTAAAATCAAAGTAACTAAAAAAAATTGATTATTCAACATTTACTATTGTATGGTCACGATGTTAAGGGATAATCCTAGAAGGGTTAAATGGTGGGATATTAATCAATATATAAATATTTTGTTTCTCCTTAGTAATATTGTCATTTTACGATAGAATTTCAAATTTTAATATGTTATCAAAATTTGATATGCTTAAATAAGCAATCAATATGTTTAAAAGTGATCAGCCAATCAAATTTTAGGCTATATTTTTAAATGATCCAACATGTTGCATGATATGTGAATGATTTAATCGTGTCAGTTTAATACTGAAATAGTAACTAACATATAATAATTTGGACCACCTCACTTATCAAAGTCGACCCTTTAAAATATGTCTCAAGATTTTAACACTTAAGCCACATAAGCTATGAACTAGAAAAATATATTGTTGCCCCTCGAGGCATATCTTAGTGGTGCAAAGGATAAGGGTGATGTATACTCAACTTTATTGGCAGTCGTAGTATGAGAGTTCGATTCCTGAAATATGGATTGAGACTCTTTGTGGGCACCAGTGTATAGACAATTCTTGTTCTCTGGCCTGTTGGGACATATTCCTCGATGTGCCTCTCTCACGATGCTCTAGGGGCGAGGCGGCAAGGGACCCTTAGGGCTGGGGTTCAACCTTTTTTTTTTAGAAAAATATATTGTTTTACATTGCCCCTATTTGATGGTCATTATTAAGGAAAAATAATATTTTAAATAGTGATTTTTAAAATAATGTGTAATTAAAAAATAAAAAAAATTGAATTTACGTGTAGAATATTTTATTGTGACAATATGTGATTAAAATGTATATGCAAAAAAATGAATTATCAAATTATGATTATCAAACAGGGGCTAAATAACTACAAAACTTTTGTAGAAAGAAAATAAATTTCACAATAATCTAGTAGATTAACAGCACCCATTTGGCCCCCATTTTTCCAAATTAAAATGGGTGGAATGATATTTTTTTTATATAAAAATAAGTTGTTCAAAAAGAAGATTTTTTTTTCGATTTAAGTGTAATAATATTTTATAAAAAATTATGTGATTGAAAATAGAAGAGAAAAAACTGAAATTTAATTTAATGGGGGCCAAACGAAGCTATTTATTTCAAGGTTTTGGCCGTAAGTATTAATCTATTTGTACAATGAGTTTGACAATATGTAAGTTGTCCAGATCCTTGACATTGATTTGAAAAACAGTTTTTCAAATCGATGGACATCATGTCTGTCAACTTACACATTGGCAAATTAATTATACAACTAGGTGGTTCTTGGCTATAAAATATCAATAATTTTATGTGTACACCTCCATGAACTACACCCATTCATGGTTCACAAATATTTTATTGCATGATGACATTGTGTACAAATAGAGTTGCGCTATACTTACAAATATGATTTACAAAAGAAGTTGACAAAATAACATTCATACCAATCATTTTGAAAACAGGTTTTTCAATCATTTGAAATCAATATCCTGAATTTTACTAACACATCTTTTGAGCCAACTTTCTAAGGGAATTTTGTACAAGTAAGAATTATTGTTACAAATAACATTGTCCAATGGTACAAATTACATTGTCCAATGATACATATAGAAGTGTATTATCAGTGACCTCGCAGACAGCGTCACAGTAGTATCCACCGTCTCCCTATCATCTCTCCAGCAATACCTTCCTTTGACAAAAATCAAACTCACTCAACAAAAACCAATGCGGCTTCCTTTTTTCAAATGCGCTTTTAATGACAGTCTTAAAATGATCCTCCTTCCAACAGACAAGGTCTCTGCATCCTTGTGTAGTGAAAATTTGTAGGCTTGACTTCTCCTTCACTCTATGGATTCTGGGGTTTTGGGCTTGGATGGTTTGGTTTGCTTAACCGCTGCAACGACAACTAATAGTGTCTTTGCCTCAGAAAATGCTGCTGAGGCAGAGCACAAATGTTACGGATCCGGATTTTTCAAGCAAGAAAGGCGTGCAGGCACCACAAGTGAAGATGAATATAGGGAGTTTAAACTGGCCAAGACAGCTTCTAGTGAGGCAATGCTGCTTCAGGAGAGAATCCCTTTGCTGAGATCCAATAGCAGTAATCTCTCTGAAGGCCAACAGATGCTCAGTTTCTCTTCTCCCAACTCTCAAACTTTGACATTGCCGTACTGTCAACAAACGTCAAGTTCCTTTAATAGAAATACAGGTTAGCACAAGTATTTTAATTGTTGTCAGAGAGTTTCTTCTTATATGGTATAAAAAAACGATGTTTATGCAGATAGCTTTCTGATTTGGGGGATGTATAAGTTGTTTGAGCACTTATATGGAGATGGACTGGTAATGGGATTGATGATGTGGGTTTTGATTTGTTCTTCTGTTGGGATAGTCATGTCACTTGAAAGCAGTGTTGGTCCTTTTTTAAGCCTCATCCAAAATAAAAAGAGAAATAAGGCTGTTTTTACCTCTCTCTATGTAACCATGATAATCTTGAATTCAAATGGTTTAGTAGATTTGCAGCTATTGGGAGGCAGTTAAAGAACAAAAAGAAGATAAAAAAGCTTTACCTTTTTGGTGGTTAGGAGAGCAAGAAAAGATTCGATAACCTCACTGACTACTAAACAGTTCTTTTTTTTTTTTTCAAGAAGCGTTGAGATGGTGATATTTACTTGAATATTTTCATCTTTCTGATGCAGGCTATGGGTCTGGAGGCATAAATGCTGCTAGCATGCATGGGTTGCTATCAGGGGTTAGAGGGCCATTTACTCCATCACAATGGATGGAGCTAGAACATCAGGCTTTAATCTACAAGTATATCATTGCAAATGTGCCTATTCCTTCTTATCTTCTAAATCCCATCCGAAAAGCCCTTGAGTCTACTTGTTTCTCCAGCTTTTCTGGCCTAAGACCCAATGCTTGTGAGTTTCTTTACTACTTTAACGTGGTATATTTACTTTTTTCAGTAGAGATTGCTCTCATGTTTGCAAAAGTGGATCTTGTTTTCAATGAAGCCAAGTATTTATTATGTAAAAGAAATTGTACTAGTTGAAGGTTTTACGGAGACGAATTTGTTACTTTTGTTCTCGTCTTTATAATAGGGCCAGATTCCATGTATGTTCTGTTTATTTTGATTAGTGACCTGGTTTCTATGGATGTATGTTGAGCAGTGGGTTGGGGTTCTTTCCATCTGGGATTTTCCAACACTGATCCTGAACCAGGAAGGTGTCGAAGGACTGATGGGAAGAAATGGAGGTGCTCAAGAGATGCAGTTGTCGACCAGAAATATTGTGAGCGGCATATGAACAGAGGCCGTCACCGTTCAAGAAAGCCTGTGGAAGGCCAATCCGGCCATTCTGTTACCGGAACCAACACGACTACCACCAAGCTAATGCCCATTACTTCCTCCATCTCAGCAGCAGCTGTGGTGCCTGGAGCTGGAGCATCTAACAATCTTACACTTAACAGGTATATTATGGGTGCCCTACAGATCCATATTTAAATTCAAATTTCTAACCTTCAATCAAATAGTTTAGGCTTTGGTGTCAAATTATTAATTTGATCTTCTAAATTCAAGTCCTTTTTAAATGTTATTATTCTGTTTGAGCAGACAAAGTCAGCATCAAGTGGGGTATTACAACGTAAGACGAAACTTGGAAATTCTTAGGGAACTAGCAGTTCTTGAAGTTTTTCCATTTTTCACGTTATACAAATGTTAATTCAAACCTGTTTTCTTTCCTTTGGCCTAATAAGATTTGAATTGTTATCCTTTTAGCAGGAGTTCTCTCGAAAAGGAAAATGTGGACGAGGGATATCAACGTACAACAGGTCTTTCCATGTTATCCTCAAACACAAGTTTGAAAGACAACCGATATTCTGTTCCCAAAAAACAGAATGCATACGTGGAATCTTCTTGCTCCAAGTTCGGATTAGTATGCTCTGATTCTTTGCTCAATCCTTTAGATAGAAGTTCTTCATTTGTGAACAGCAATCTCAATGATCACAAAAGCAAATCACAGCATCCACTTCGCCAGTTCATGGATGAATGGCCCAAAAACCCATCAGAATGCTCAGCCGTTTCATGGCCTGATGTTGATATACAGTCGGACAGGACTCAGCTTTCAATTTCCATCCCCGTGGTCACATCAGACTTCGTGTCTTCTACCTCATCTCCTGTGAACGAAAAGCTTACAGCCTCTCGACTGAGATTATCCCCAGAGCTTGAGGCAACTCAAATGGGATTGGGAGTAGGCATCATCTCAAGTGAACAGAGACAAAGACAAACCAACTGGATTCCCATTTCCTGGGAACATTCCGAGGGTGGACCTCTTGGAGAAGTTTTACATAGCACAAATAACAGCAAAAATGATCGTAAGAACACCATGGCTCTGAGCCGGATGGAGGGCTGGGATAGAAGCCCCTGTTTGGCATCATCTCCCACTGGGGTTTTACAGAGGGGTGCACATGGTTCCCTATCTAACAGCAGTGCAGGGAGTAGCCCAAGGGCAGAGAGTAGCAAGACACTCGATGGGGCTAGCCTTTGCAATGGACCCGGAGGTTCAAGTTTAATGAATCCATCCTTCCCTGCAATGTAATCATGTCATGGCCTGTTGCTTTTTATGTGCTGACAAAATTTTAGTCTAATTGGCTTTTGAAATTTGTTAATTTGTTCACTCTCGTGTTATTGTAGTTTTCCTGGTTTTCTCTGCCTGAATTTGTGAAAGTGTAATGCTTCAATCTTAACGTAAGACCTTTCGATTGCAAATTTCAATCACATGTTCTTTAGGTTGTTCAACGATTGTGTTGTCATCCTGGTGTGCTATAATTTCAGACATCTTAGTATGGAAACATATTATTAATACTTTTGATTTTGTTCCCACTGAAATTTACTGATTGGTGCCAGTTAATTCTCTTCATCAACCCTTTTCCACGGTTGAAAGACTTGACATAACTCTGTTCTTATTAGATGCCATTTTTATTTATTATTATTATTATTATTTTTTAAAGTTATATCAAGACTCTCGAACATTCATTCCACGACAGTATGACAGCTGAAGTTTCTATCGTTAAATTACTTTGGGTTAGATTTAATTCTCTCCGGCTTTTGTTTGGTTTCTAGATGGACGTTTAGTTCGTAAAATGCCAATGACATTAACACATCACCTCAGTAATAACTTGCTGCGGGGAAAGAATTAACCTTACCTGAAAATGTAATATAAACTAGTTTCGGTGAAAAAAATTACACTATATTCCGTGAGGAATAACCTGTGACTGATTCAGATGGGCATTCATACGCTATTTAACCATTTATACAAGATTCTGCCACATTTTGATCAAGAAACAAATCTTCTGTTTCATTTTTTTTGACAGACTCAGGTGTCCAAACTGTCGTAGAAGCTTGCTCTAAGGATCGTCAAAACGATGTTTTTCAGGCTTAATCCAACGTTATCTTTTTCTACCAAACAACCAATCCAATTGGTTCCGATCCACAACCAATATATTCAACTCGGTTACTTTTCAATCTCACCCACAAAGGAAAAGATAATAGTGATGATTTGTAGCCACAAAGGCCAGGAGAAAACGCCACCAAGGATGGCAAGGAAGAGACCAAAAAATCCACAAAGGAATCTCTTGGTTTTGGACACACAAAGGGGCCGAATTTTTCACTATGGGACAGCCGAATTTGTACCTTATTTCACACACAAATCACACTGGAAAACAACTAGTGTTGTTATCTTATAAGTAGGCTATATTAGGCTTTTAGTTGGACCTATAAGAAAATAAAACGACCTAAATTAAAGCCATCCAAGAGAGAATAGAATTGGATTGGATAGAGCTTTGGATTTGATTGTTGGTATTTATTTCATTTATCGGCCTCGGCCTATGAAATATACATTTCCACATTAATATCATAGCTAGGATTTATTATGTATCAAAAACTCTACAAATCTCCACCTTGATATCCAATAAACTTGCAAGCAATTAAAAAAATACAGTTAGTGCTTGCATAATCAAGATAATGATAAGATTTGATCACATACCTTATCTCGTATTTTCAACCTGAAATACATACCATACCTGCTCCATGTACTCACTAGGGCTAAGATCAAGAACATCCAAGTAGAAGCAAATATTCAAAGTAATCAATCAAGAATAAATAATCATGCAATGAAGATGTAATATTGGATAACAAGCACAGATCTTTATAGAAACACGTTTACACAAAATCACAGATTAACACCAAGTTAATCAAACATATGTTCAAACACACATGCAACAAATGCATAAATGACCCTACAAAAAGATCTCATCACATTTATTCTATTCCATTCCGTGTTGCTCCCACCTTGAGAACACATATCTCTTCTCATCGCCCGCCATGCTCACTAAATTGATCACTCAATCTATGTCTAACTAGTAACTCACATGTAACAAAATTAGGGAATCACACATATGCAGAAAGGATTACACACAGATACACATGCAGTAGTAGGTTTACTCTCAACAAACCTCACTAGGGTCATCACTCGACCCTATAGCCAAATTCGCCTCATCTTTCATCTTAGCCTTCTGCTTATCATTATTCTTAGGACAGTCCCTAATAAAGTGTCTAAACTTACCACAGTTGTAACAGTGTCTACCACTAGACTTGTCCTGTCCATTGCATTTCTTCTTACCACTTTCATCAATCGAGTCACTGCTTGAGTAACTACTGTCTTGAGTTCTACCCAAATTCATTTGTTTAAATTTCATCCTACTCCTCATTATATGTAATTCACCACTCCTCTTATCTTCATTTTTAGCCTCAATCTCCATCTCCTTACTCTGAAGGGAGTTTATGACAATCTTGAGTGTTAAGGTGTCCATACCATACTTAATTACATTTTTAATTTTTCTATATGAATCAGGTATGGAATTAAGCAAAATAATGGCCTTGTACGTTTCAGAAACATTTTCATCACAATTAACAATATTTTGAACTAATTTGTTAAAGACATCCAAATGTCATCAAGATCTTTTGAAGGATTCATTTTAAAACTAGAAAACTTTTGGAGCAAGTACAAGTTGTTAGGAATAGACTTAAACAAATATAAATCTTCCAACTTTTGCCAAAATTCTTTTGTAGAATCAAGTTTTCCAACTTTTCTCAAAACAGTATCACATAAGTATAAAATAATTAAAGTGCAAGTTCATCATATTATTCTTTTTGTGCCTATGTTAAATTTACAAGAAATTTACCATTTATGATTTTTGAAACTTTTTGTGGAATCGAAATCGCCTTTATCTTCTGCTGTCAAATTGAAAAAATCCCTTTTCTATTGAAAATTCTAGCTTTGAAATGTGATGACATTTTGAAGATACAGAACTACCAAATGCACAAATAGGCCACACAAAGTAATCATAAAGCTACAATATACACCGTTCTAGATTTTCAAGGTTTCGTAAGATTTACCATTTTAGATCAAGGGAATATTCAAACGAGTTAAGTCTATGTGTTCTAATAGGATAATCAATACAACATGCAAGCATGTAAACAAAAACTTCAAATTCTCATGCAATGCAGTTGTACACAGTGACTATATAACAGTTAGAGAACAAAACCAATTACCACCTTGCAATCAACTTCAACACTTCAAATATGTCAAATAACTTATAAATTTCTAGTACAAGTAATGTTACTCCTTCACGGAAACCTCCAATCCTAATATCACCCCACACGATGACGCGCTAATGCTAAAACTTGAATCGGGATAAGCCAATATACCATAACGGACCAATCTGAGTTCGTAAATTATAAGAGATGCAAATTTATCACTTTAGGACCACCACTATTCGTTCTAAAGTCTCTAGCAATTGTACCAACCAACCAACCACGATCGAATCCCGAACGTGCGAAGAACAACTCTGTCCAGATCCCACTATACAATCTGAAACAGAAAACTAACATCACCAAAATGTCAGAAATGATGTTAGGAAGAAATTGCCTGAAGAGACCACTTCTAAATTCTATCCCACACGTTGCCAAGCCTCTTTGCGTATGTGCCTCATGCCCTCGTCGCATGCCCCAGCGACGCTGGTCACATGCCTGACCATCGAGACCGCCTCTACCTACATGTCACACGAGTGGTCTCCATTTCACCAAAAGCCTTCTGTTTTGGCTGGAAATCACAAAAACAAAGGCTGATTTTGAGTAATTTTCTGGATAGTTTTTGGATTTGATTTCTGTTTTGTTTCTATCGATTTTGTGAATGTTTCTTGGTATGTTTCACAAGCCATAACCACCACCTTGAAGCTCTGATACCATTTTTCATGGAAGCCCACTTCAAGGATCGTCAAAACGGTATTTTCTAGGCTCAGTCCAACGTTACCTTTCTCTACCAAACAACCAATCCAACCAGCTCTGATCCACAAACAATATATTCACTTCGGTTGCTTTTCAATTTCACCCACAAAAGATAAGATAATGGTGATGATTTATAGTCACAAAGGCAAGGAGAAAACGCCAAAAATGATGGCAAGGAAGAGACCAAAAAATCCACAAAGGAATCTCTTGGTTTAGAGACACAAAGGGGCTGAATCCTTCACTATGGGATAGCCAAATTTTCACCTTCTTTCATGCACAAATCACGCTAGAAAACAGCTAGGGTTGTTACCTTATAAGTAGACTAGGTTAGGCTTTTAGTTGGACCTATAAAAAAGTTAAAAGGGTCAAGATTCAAGCCATCCAAGAAAGAATACAATTGGATAGGGTAGAGCATTTAGACTTGGTTGTTGGTACTTATTTCATTCATCGATTTAGGCCTATGAAATATACATTACCAAGTTAACATTATAGCTCGAGATTTATTGGGTATCAAAACCCAACACAAACTTAGCCTGACTAATTTTGAGGAGTAGCAGCCTTCCCTCCTAATTTAGCACCCAAGTAAATTGGATGCAGCCAGAGTATATACATACTTGGATCGGACATTCAGGCAGCGGTTCTCCTCTCTATAAACCTCTCTTTATGACGTGTGGATGGAATTTTAGAGGGGAGACAGAGCTTGAACTTTAGGCGGTCCCTGGATTGCTGCCAAGATTGGATTGTTGGGTATAGAGGATAAAATATTTTAGAAACTTTGACTTTGTTGATAAAGTTTTGATTGATTACAAGATCTGTTAAAAGTCTAGATCTACTGTTTCCATAGAGTTTTCTTATTTAAGTTGAATCTTGGTCTTAATTCTCTTTTAAGGAAAATATTATGGCTTCGTATCATGTAGATACGACAGAAAATCGTAAGGGATAAGATGGATTAGGCTTTTGATAAGTATATTTTATAAACATGTCTAGGTCGTTAAACTAGATCAATTATTGTTAATTTTGTGGAATCGACGCTTAGTTTTATTTATATATTCCTCTTGCTAAGTGCTACTCAATGCAAAAGGATGGAATTGGAGAAAAGAAGCGAAACTGAGCTAAAATCGAAGAAGTCAAAAGTTTGAGGACCAAATTACACAGAGCCAATAGATGATTCGGGCACTTTATGACAATTGGAGAGTTCGAATACTCAATTGAATACATAGAAAAGCCAAAGGAAAGAAAAAGAGTAAAAATTGACTTAAAGATGCCACCGAGAATTTTAGGGACCAATTGCATTTTTGTAAAACGGCACGGTCAAAGAAGTTGGCACACCTCAAAATCTAAATCAACTATATGACATGGCTGCGGTGCACTATACTGCACCGCAACACAGGCCAGTTTTGGCATGAACAACTTTGTTTCTTGTTTGGACTCAAATTCTATCATGAGTGTAATTGTATTTTCAATTTAACCTATTGGGGATGTCCAGAACAAAGACACCAGATCATATACCATAATTCATC